ATATAGTGGTCAACAGTGATGGGGTTTGGCCTTGGACAGGACCACAGACATGCTCTGCTGGACCACAGAGACAAGCTGCTGTCATCCTAATTGGCAGAGGCGGTCCAGGCCAACATTCACTCGTGTTCGCCGTATAGATTATAGTTCCAATAAGTGCTTGAGTTTATACTGTAGGTGCCCTGTAACTTTTTAGTGGACGATTTGCTTTGCTATGAAAGGTCTGCAGCGTGGCATTTAACAGGGGTATTTCCTGAACTGTCTCTGTTTTCAGCAAGAAAGTTATTCATTCGTATAAAACCATATTGAGTTTCGATATGTCTTGTGTACTCTGCACTATTGTGTATTCTGATAAATGAGCACAGATTAAGTTAATATAACGAACACATTTACAGCTAGCAAATGTTTCCAATTCATAAAATCCCAAGGGAAGCTGTATGACACAATATATTAAACAGTATTAAAATTCACATTTGACACAGTTCTAAGGGGTTCGTTATTGGACCCAAATTGTCATTTCATTTGATTGTTGCAGGTTTAGGTAATCCTGCATTGTTCTGCATTCGGCTACAGTCCAGAGAAAATGTCTGTTTCGCCTACCATCTATTCCAGCTCATTTCTATATACAAATTCAGATATTAGGTACTTATTGGCTTCTGCTCAACTTTTTTTTTTTACCCGAAGTCATTGAACCTGCTTCTATTACTAACAAATACTGTGGTGTAATGAACAAAATGTAAAATCTGTGGTATACGACATTACTCGATGTTCCCAAAAACATAATACATTTTCTCTGGGATGAAAATGAACTAATTTAAATCAACAGTCCAGTTTCTGCTGACTCCAGGCGTTTTAAAAGTAAAGCAGGATACAACCTCACCTGCCCTCATTCACACAGTGTAAGCCAATAGTACATCACATTTGGCACTGGCTCCTCTCTGCTCACCGTAGCCCAGAGTCTCTTTAAGGACAATCGCCGCTGAAGGACCACAACAGCAAAGCAGACGAGAATTAATGACGGCCATTACGCCCGCCAGCTCCTGCCATTCGTTAATTTCAAAGCAGGTTTTTAACAAGACAGGGATAATTAAGAACTAAAGAAGAACACCACGCAGTCAGATGTCTATGGCATGTATGATTTCCTGCTTTTTAGCGCAACGCATTTCCCTTCATTTTTAGATCTCATCCCCCCTTATAATCTGCCTGGATGATAGCTCTAGGCTATTTGGCAAAAACATTTATGTTCGTTTGGTTTGCCTTAAATTAGCTGGCATCACGCTGCTCTGGCTCTGACCTGCTTAATGCATCTTGACACAAGGAATCCTCTAACAAGCGGCTGATTCCTGCACCGTTTATAGGGGAGTTCAAAGTCTCATCTATGGGTGAGGGAGATATAAAAAGCGAGGGGAAAGCCCTGAGAGAAGGGATACGGCACGAGAGCAGTTACACGCACACTGGAAGGTTCTCCCGTTTTAAAACGCCTGATGTTAATTGCAGCTGTATCCTCCTCTTGTTTTTGTGCTTCTCTTTCATGTGTATTGCGTCAAGAATCCATTTCGGAAATTTTGCACATGTTTTTTGCACTTCTTTAGAAAGAAGTAAGTTAATATCATCCTATTTGATAAAGCAGGTTCTAGACAAATTAAGGTACACTGTATTGTCCCAATAGTAACATCTGTCCTCTGCATTTGACGACAGCGCTGCGCCCAGGGACCTACCTTCAGATGTTGATGGACAGGACTACCGCAGATGTACTTACAGTGCATGTTTTGGTTGATGGGGGGGCAACCAGAAACCACTCAGTCACAGAGAGAAACATACATACTCCACATAGAAAAGCCTGGGATGACACAAAATTGGAATCCACAATCTTGATAAAATCCACTCAGCCCCCATGTCGACCACCATAAGTTTAGGTCAAATGTGTACAGCATTATCCTTTCATTTTCATCCCTTTAATGTGTACAGCACAAAGAACAGCATAATAATTATGATTTCTAGAAGACCCATCACATGCTTGCATCATTGTTTAGTACTATTCTGTACTGTAATTTAATACTCTGAAAAGCAGGTCTGTTATAAAGTTCAAAACAAAGTCAAAAGTCTCTGAAAATTCTGACTTTCACATATAGAATTAACCTCAGATGTTTCATTCATTTGAAAACTAAATGAAATGCATAAGCAAGAACAAGAAGAAGCTGAAGTCTTGAAGTAGATCTGTGTTATGAGGTCAATTAACTTTAAACACCAACTCTCTGTCTGTAAACAGATGGTGATGTCCGCTGCAGAAAGAACCACAGATAACTGCTTCATTTAGACACACTCTCAGATTCTATGTTGTATTCTTATGGCCATTACTTTGGGATGGTATTCGCTGCTTTTCAAATGACTTATTATAAATATCATTATTGTATTACACTATGATTACGTATACATAGCATATGAATACGGACTATGGGGAAAAAATATAAATATTAACATTTGGTGTTGCTTCAAACCGGTCTGACGATTATAGTAAGAATTTATTTATTTAAGATAAACAATAAACAAGATACATGATAAAAAACATGACTCCTGAAGCTGGAGCCTTGTGAAATGTAGTAAATTTCTTATAAAATTTGTCTTTGAAATGTTCAGGTCAGGATCTATGTTCAGCCAGTTTTTGACAGCCTGCCTCGCTGAGCTGTAGTGACAGGGCTGCTGTGGGTGAGAGTGACACTGCCTGAGTAAACTGCGTCTGACACAGAGAAGAAACGTGACCTTTCAGATGAGAGGAGGAGGCTGTATGGACGGACAGACCAGACCACAGCGAAGACTTTGACTCACATTTACCAACACAGCACTTTAGACAGCTTAAAAACCTTTCCACAACTAATCACAACAAATCGTCCCAACAGAAAGACCCTGGTACAAGTAGCATTTTGTGAATAAACAAGATCGCAACATCTGATTACAAAACATGTTATCTTTCCTTATCTGTATTTGTGATAAAGAGTCTCATCAGTCACTACTGCTGCTTTAGGCTGAGAGGTGAATGTGTGTGTGTGTGTGTGACGGAGGTCCACTATACTTTTCTGAAAAAAGAGGCCTGAAAAATCTGATCTAAAGTCGGCCAAAAACCCTTTTATGTGAAAACTAGTTATAGAGCCAAACTGTTTTGAGAGCGAGGAATTAGTGAAATTTATTGTGTAGCTATATTTTTTTGTGTTTTTAAAGTTTGAGGGCCCAGCTTCAAATATGTGAGCTACTTTAACAATTATCCCAGTCAATAGGTTATGTTGAATTTCAGTTATATGATTTCATTATTGACCATAAGAATAACTCCATCTTCATTTAAATATTTTTTCTCATAACAGAAGATAAGGAAATGAGTCATCTGCATTTGACCCATCCAAACGCTACTCAATCAATCAAACAAATTGGCAAAGTGGCATACAGAGAGAGTTTTTACCATTTATATCTAAACCCCATCAGGTGAGTGCTTAGAAGCTGCGTGTGTCACAGACAGGAAAGAATGCAATTATAATGACCTTATTACATACTGTCCCTTTAATGCTATCCCTTATCTGAAACAAGGTTGACATGAAGAGGGTTGGAATCAAATTAATAATTCAATCAATATCAATCTCATATATATTTATGAAATATGATGGTGGTTATGTTGGAGTCGATGAAGTCTTTCATTACATTGATTTGGAAGATCACAGTGGAGAAAATTGCAAACAGCAGAATGACTGCAAATTGTTTAACATCCAACAATAAAGACTCATTTGGAGAATGAAATAACAAGACAAAATGAAGAGTATGGGTAACATCTGCTCCGCTTATGTTGATTCTTGGCCTGTGTGTCGGTCTCACCCCTCGTCTCCCTCTGTCCCCGCGGCTCACTCAGACATAACAGCTAGTGACAGAAGTTAAGTGATTCCCAAACCCGCTGTTCCCTCTCAAAAACCCAGCAGCTAAAGCCTGTCCCACTCACAGATCCTCAGCCATCCCACACACTCACACAGCCGCCCCCTCTTCTCTCTGCTTATGGTGATATTGTCAACACATATCCATCCATTTATAGTGTCATGGCAGCATCTCCTCAGGAAAATCCCTTTATTCCAACCCGCACATGGAGCCGTTTTGGTCTTCGGTCTCGTCTCTTTCAATGTAGCCATCACATCAAAGTCTCGCAATCTTTTTTTCCCATTGAAAAGTGAAAAATGTCTAGGCTGACTCGCCGCCTGACTCGAAACCATTCTGTCAGCAGCAGATGTCAGACTTGGGCATTCACAGTCTGGAGGAGATGGAAATATTAGCAGTAGCATACAAAGGCATATTGAAGCACTAATCCTTTAAAGATGTTGATTGTACTTTGACTGAGCTGGGTGTGCCATTTTCATCAAAGATATTTTCAGCAGAAAGCAATTGTCAGCGGTCCTTGGGTGTACATCACATACACTGGTCAAGGGAATACACTTCAAATAGGGAAAGCCCATATGAGATCAAATAGAAATATGGAATAGTAAATGTCTGGATGTGCAAAACAACTGATAGAAACACAGCACATCTGTTTTGGTGCATTTGCAGTGTTTTGAGTAAAGCTCAAATAATGAAAACAAATTCATCTTATTTGCAAGCAAGGGCAAATACAGTGAATCTTCTCTGCTGATCTCCCAGAAACATTAATCTGGGAGCTTTGTTTATGGCTCTAAATATACAATTATAAACATCAAGAACAGAATTTCATGTAATCCTTCAGGCCAATCAAAGAAGCCAAATACTTAAGAGCGGTTGAGCTCGCGAATGATGTGCAACAATTGGGCACTGCTAAGTAGAAGATCAGAAGATGTTCTATTATGGTTGTTACAAAACGTTTTTGATATATATTTCTAAAATCAAAGGGCCCCTTGCTGTGTTCTTTAATCCTACAGAGAATAGTAAATGGGATGGATCCAGTTGTAATAATAAAGATCAGTGGGACATCATTGTGCGCTCCAGTCACAATGACTGCCTGTATGCGGCTCCAGCCCGAGCATGTGGTGTTTAGTCTGCTGTCTGCTGGTGTCGAGAATCGGTCTGTGCAAGTGTCAGTGTGACGGCTTACAGCACATCGTCTGTGTGACTGACATCTGTCACACTTCCTGTTGTGATGGTATTGTCTGAATGACAGTCCCTCCCTAACATCAGCAGGACATACACACACACGCATGTTCACAGATGCACACACACCTACTGTACCAATACACACCTACACATACACACACCTGAGCTCGCACACACATACCCAAAAATACACACCTGCACATACACATACAGTACATACACGCGCGCGCACACACACGCGCACACACACACGAGAGGCTTCAGGGCTTTCCTTGGGTTTGCCCTGAGGTGGAGTAGTGCTCAGCCTAGAGCGGTCGGCTCATGAATAAAGCTCACAAGAACAGCAGCGTTTAGAGTTAGTGAACACTAAACTATACGTCAAACTGAGACAGGAGGAGATGGAGACTATTATTATACACCACCTGTTGAGGATCCTCAAGCAAATGGAGACCGTGGGCCAACTTCACATTCTGACACCCAACATTCCTGTGCTTATAGCAAAGAAAAGCACAGTTCAGACTCACCAAATGTTGGGGATATAAAGTTCAGGTGAAATAAAGATAATGTGTTCATGCAACAAAGGCATGTAGGGTACAAAAATAGAAACAGGCAATGGTAATTTACTTCACTGACAGTGTGCCCCAGGGCAGCTGTGGCGACAGTAGTAGTTTATCACTAGTGTGTATGGAGATAAAGAATAATGTGAAGCATCTTTGAGTGTCTAGAAAAGCAGTGCATTCTTATTCTTATTATATTAATGAATGATTGTTTCTTGGTGGGTGTTCCACAAAATACAATGTCTCCATAACTTGTCCTGTGGACCCGAACATCAGCTTGACAAAGAAGTCTCATGCTGTTCACAAGATTTATCAACATGAGGCATGTTGTCCCACTCTTTTTAAAGGGCAACCCTCAGGCCACAGACGTTCTGGGGTACAGGGGACAAGCCTCACTACAGCGACTCACCACAGCGATGAAATTACACATAATTAATGATATTCAGAGCATTGGCCTTCAGGCCTGAAGGTCGTGGGTTCAATTCCCACCTCTGCACCTTCTCCACCGACTCCCACTGATGACTGCTGTCATTGTGTCCTTGGGCAAGACACTTAACCCCACTTTGCCCAAAGCCCCCGCTGAAAGATCAAGGCTATGCTCACACTCAGAGAGCAGCCGTCCTCCTGTGGACTCACCACCTGCAGAGGATCAGTGAGGGGCTGGTGCTATGAGACTTGGGTGGCATCTCTGACTGCCACCCCCCCGACTCAGAAATGGATTAAAGGGTAGAAAATGGATGGATGGATGGATAATGATATTCAGGTAGTATAGACTTGTCACTGTACCCAGGCTGTGCCTGTTGGTGGGTCATGGATCCCCCTTGAATGGCCTGCCGTGACTCCTGGGGGCCACACACTTCCCTCACACGTGTTTGAGATCGGTATTGATCCTCTGGTTCATCAGGGGGTCATCAGTGTGGGATGTGGTCAGAGATTGTCCGCTTCAAGCTTTTCTGTGTCAGATTTGGAATCTGCTTATGACACTTTCTGCTCAGTGCCTATTAAAGACTTCGTGTATATGGTGACAAGACAGTGGTGCCCCCCCATGGAGAGGGACCATTGATCGCAGGAATCCTCGAGGAAAATAAATACCAACAGTCATTTTGGAATCATGCAGTTATAATCTGCATTGTTGCCATGAAAACAAAAAAACAAGCTTCTACTCTGACAATGTTCAAGTCCATATTATAAACAGAGTAAGGTGTTGGGACCTTCAACATCAGTGAAGTGTGGTCTGGGGAGACCAATGAGACAATAAAAAACAATAAAATGGAACACATGGAATACATGGTCTTATTGTGCTGTGGTGTTTTGTACTAATGCATTAATTTCCTTGTTATTTTGCCATATTTATATATTATTTAACAAAAAAATGGTGAATTCGATCACATTTCCTCATCTTTGACGAGCCTCAGTTTAACCCGCCAGTTTGTTTTTACTTTTTCTGTTCAACTGGCGCTATGATTGAGGTGAAGCATACAGTCCTTTTCTGCACCTGTTTCATTGTTTTGTTTCTGCTTTGTGAAGTAAAAGTGAGACTTCACAGAAAACATGGTACATTTAATTGCGCTGTATAATCAATAATGCATGATTACATTTGCCAACATTGTGCATAATACTGTAAGTATGATAGCAATATTATTTACTATTACATGTCCACGGTTTGAGCAACAAGCCAATGTTACGAGATTCCGTTTGAAAGCCCCCTCTGCTCATTGGCGTTACGCGCGCCACATATAGACTGGGACCAGAGTGGGCAGACTGGTTCGGGGGCAAAGACTGTATTCTCTTGCTGAAAAAAACACAGCCTTTGAAATATTTGTGGTGGTCCTTTATGACAGGTTCAGGTAACAGTGCCATGGCAACAAACAAACAAGCAGAGACATTATTACCTGCCAAAGCACATCCTATCATCTTGTCCAGCAGTATGGTTTGCAGGCACAAGTGGTGTATATTCAACCGGCAAACATTTGGCTTATGGACTGGTTGAATGGCAGTAATTGCGAACTCCTGAACATGACTGACAAGCTCGAGAGCCATAAACGCACGTAGAGGAAAAGGCCGTTTATCTTGTTATGATGGTAGCAGGTAGCGCTGGTTCGAATTCGGCTCTGATTGGACCATTGAGTTTGTGATTCCTCTATTGTTTCTGGACCGCTGAGAATAGAGAGAGGGACTAAACGCCACGCAGCACTTATGACTAAAATGTGTAAGCGGCTTGCAGTGGACACCGGCTGGTTCCCCAACGCCTACTCCTTCACCTAAACACGCTCGCTTTTCAAATGTCAGATCAAAGTGGGAGGCCGACTGTTTTCTGAACGAAGAACTAGACGAAGCGCACAAGGAGACTGAGCAGAAAATCAGAAGACACACTTTCTTCCCCGATTGATCCACTGTTCTGGGAAAGTGGCCAGCACAATCCAGGCTCCATCCCGCCCGACTTTTATCTGTCTGTCACTCCCTTCCTATTGTGTTTTTTCTCACATAATTGCTTTACTGAAATGCTTGGTGTGTTCAAATTGTCATGACAAGTTAACACATTAAGGGTGACATGAGATCTAGAGCATATAGTTCATGCCTTGTAGAGTAGATATATGAGTAGAGCAGGGTGCGGTTGTGTGTCTTCTAGATCCTGCAGCAGAAGCAAAAGGCTCTAACAGATTAAGGTCAAAACTGTAAAAGCCAAAGAGGCGCTAATAAAAAAATGATCAGGTCAAGCCTTTTTACGACTGCTCTACTAGCAGTAACAACCTTCAGCGAGTGAGGTTGAGATTAAAGTCCACATTAATTTGTTAATTTTGTGGCAATTTTGACCTCTGCATTTGATCCATTCTGCAAAGCTACAAAGGCAACCAGGCAGGAGAAGTGATGGCCACAGTACAGAGACCTGGGACCAGTCTCCAGATGTTGATGCTCAGCTTGGTTAAAACTACCGTAGCTGGAGCATTGTATCTATTGTACATCATTTTAGTGGTGGGGGAAACCGAAGCAGCCAGTGGAAATCTACACAGACACGGGGAGAACATGCAAACTCCACTCAGAAAAGCCCTGTCTGGAAGTGGAACCCAAAGGACAGAACCTAGGGCGTGCTGGCTGAGAAGCAAGAAATGAGAATGGTCCATTAGAATCTCGCTAACTCACTGGAGTAGATTGGAAAGAAGCCATTAGTTAGCAGCAATAAATCCAACTATTGCACTGCCTCACACACATAATTGACACCATAAAGCTTGGAAGAAGAAAAACTTTGCCGCAGAGATTTTCATCAGGGCACTTTGTATACCCAACCTGAATCATTTAAAGAGTAAATGGATCATAATTTTGCTACCGACAGGAGGCTTATAGTTTCAATGAGAAGCGCGAGTAATAAACAACACTTAATTTGAGAGGCAAATTCACAGCCACCATATTTGCAGTGCATCTTGGGCAGAGTTTGTTAAAGCATTAGCCTAAATCAAGTGTAAAAGGACAGGCATATAGTGCACTAGCTGTGGTGTGCATATCTGTCCAATCACACTTAGGGAAACTGTTAAATCAAACTATACTATAAATGTCTCTTAGTTTTTAACACATACATGCAGCAAATATCGTCCAAGACAGAAACTATTTTGCCGAAGACGACACAATTTCTGTAATAGCACATCAATAGGACTAACCTAAGAGAGGAGAGAAATATGGCTTTAAAATGGCCATAAAAACTGAACTGCAGAGGAGTCCATGTACCACCTCAGTTTTAGAAAGTCAGATCGAGGAAAATGCTGTGATTGTTGCCTCTTGAAGTCTTTGCCCCAGTTGAATGCATGTCTGGAAATACAAGTGTGCCAGTATTGGGAAGTGAAAACAACAAATGAATTATTAAAGTCAACAGTGAGCTCATTGTTTGTTGCAGTATTTATGTGTGTGTCATATTGCGGCGGTAGCGTGAATGCACTGATTATGTGCAGAGAGAGTGTGGTTCGGTCTGAGAGGAGTATTCATGAAGTGGCACGCAGCGGGAGGCCGGTGTCAGACATACTTCACACAAATGACGGCAGCCGCAAAAACGGGTGGCGCTAAAACGATCAATTTCAGACTATTGACTCATTTTCAGATGTCTTTTAAAGAGATACCAACATTGAGTTGCTTCGATCCTTATTGGTTCCTCAATCAACATATAAGTGCATTGCTTCTAAAGACCTTGTGTACAGTTATGAGGGTTTCAATGTGTGAGAAACGGCTAATCTAGCTCTTTTTGGCCTACAGTGACAGACTAACTGCATTCTGGTTGTGAAGTTGAGAAAAGGTGCTCATAACTGATATGGTGAAAATGAGGATGTGAGGATATATAGTTTTGATACAAGTTGTTTACAATTAGCTTAATTCCAATAGACGGGGAGCATGTAGTACATTTCCCGATGGAGGCTTGAGTATGTATGTT